CTGAAAGATTATAGAAATTACCCACTACCTTGCTGAAAGGGAGGGGGTCCTGGGGATAGGGGGGATAGGGTACTGGATTTGGGAGCCCTGGAAGAGGACAGGAAGGGTATGAGCTAGGCTGGCCTGGGACACTGTGCTCACCATCCCACTCTCTCTCCAGCTCCCAAAATGGCGATGAAACCGGCACCTGGCCCAACAACCAGTTTGACACAGAGATGCTGCAAGCCATGATCTTGGCCTCTGCCAGCGGTGAGTTGTGTGTGTGTGTGTGTGTGTGTGTGTGTGTGTGTGTGTGTGTTAAGATGGGATGGGAGACCTGGGGCTCTGGGCATCCCACAGCCACATGCCTTGACACTGGCTATCACCCTGCAGGATTTCTCTGGGTCTTTCTGCTGGTTCTAAGGGATTCATCACCCCAAAACATGAAGCCAGGTTGAGGAACAGCTGAGGGATTGGGTCCTGGGATGCCAGAGGGGAGTGAACAAGGAAAGGTCCATCGAGGAGATGTGGGGAGTGGTGCTTGAGAGTCTGAGGGGAAGAGCATCAGTCTGATCCCAGCTCTGCCACTTACCATCTTTGTGACTTTGACCGATTTACTTAATCTCTCTACACCTCAGTTTCCTCAGCCAAGAAAATGGGGCAGCGACCTCAGAGGGCTGTCCTGAGGACTAAATGAGATGATACCACAAAGCACAAAGTACTAGGTCTGGCACATAGGCCCTCAATCCATGGATGTGGGGGAGGGGTGTTCCCAGCAGAGAGAACAGACTCCGGATATGTGAGATCCCTTCTGTTTTTTTGCTTACCCACCCTCAGAGCAGGATTTTTGTTTTCCCACGAGGCTAAGGCTAGCAAAGAACTTCACATGCAATAGAGATTCTGTTGATGGTTATTGTCCCTGAAAAGTCACAAGGGTTCTGAACAGGGGAAGTGGAATAACATCCTTACTATTGAAGAGCACAGGCTTTGGAGGCAGGTCAACATGGATCCAAATTCTGGCACCCCTGTGCACTGTGAGTCCTCGGGCAAGTTACTAACCCCCTCTGGGCCTCAGTTTCACGGACTCTAAAAGGGGCACAGTAATAACAGCTCTCATTGTGGTGTGATAGAGGACCTAATATAAGACCTCAGCATAGAATTAACAGAGAGTAAGGACACAATATATAGTGGCTAAGACTGGTTAATTATTATCTTTATTGATCCATAGGAGTGGATAGAAGGCCGAATTAGAATAGAGCCTATTAATAAGGACTAGCTTCTGGAGCAGCACATCTGGGCTTCTATGGAGGATGGTGGGGGATTAAGGCACTGGCCTTATGTAGTCACTGAGAGCCCTGCCCTCCAGCATGGAGGGCTGGTGGGTAGAGAAGCAGGTCAAATTAGAACAATAATCGCCATAACCACACCCCTGTGCCAGGCACATGCCAGACAAACTCTATGGGCCTCATGTCCGTGAACCCTCTCAGCAGCTCTGCGAGGCAGGTCTGATTACTTCCACCTGACAGACAAGAGACTGAGAAGTCACTTGTCCACTAACCTGGCCCGACTCCCAAGTTGATGTTCTCTCTGCTCCAGTGACCCTGTCTGCCTTGAGATCCAGCCTCTGTTTCCCTTTTAGCTGAGTAAATCGAGGCTGAATTCTCACTGCCCTGTATTATTCTCCAAGATTAGGGTTGCCAGGTAGAAAGAAGATGATCAATCAGTTAAATTTTGACTTCGGGTAAACAACAAATAATATTTTAGCATAAGTAGGTCCCAAACATTAGTATTGGGACATACAGCACTAAAAAAATTGCTTGTTGTTGACCTGAAATTCATATGAACTGGGTACCCTGTGTTTTTACTTGCTAAGTCTGGCAAGCTTCCTCCAGATGTCTGTGAGGCCGAGTGGGGCCAGGACTGTGGTTAGGAAGGGGAAAGTGGCAAAGGCGACCAGCATTCCCGATGGAGTGGAGCGCGGCCCAGAGAGGCCAGATGCTGAGTTTGAAAGAGGGAGGCAGCTGGGTCTGGGGAGAGGCCAAGTCGGGTTCTTGAGGGAAGTAAACAGGCAGTCAGGTATATTTAGCTCTTGTGGCCTTGAGCCTTAAGGCCAGGAAGCAGGCTTTTTAGCCTAAATCCACATTTTAAAAACAGAAATGGAGTATTTATGGCCCCAAACCCTCTCAGAAGGTCCCCTGGGTCATTGCAGGCCGGCCTCCCTCTCAGGGCTCCCCGCCTCTGGCCCACACAGGGCCTGACCTGAGTGTAAGCCTGGGCTCTGGGGAACAGACCCTGAGGGTGGAGGTGGCAGGGTCAGGCCCTACTCTCACTTTCACACCCGCTTCCCTGCCCTGGAGCCAGAGAGGTTCCTGGAGTCCAGCCCAGCCAGGCCTGTGGGGCTGGTGAGGGGGAGTAAGAGGGAGAGAGTAAGTACACTTGGGAGGCTTCTTAAATAAACATTTCAGGGAGGAGGTGTGCTCTCAAGGAGCCTGCGGTCTGCAGTTCAACTGGCTGAGGTCTCGCTTGACCAGGCCTCCTAGACTGCCCTAGAGTTGCTGCCCCAGCCCTGGGGTGGAGGGCAGGAGGCAAGGGGAGGTTATGGTGCTTGGAGCTGTTTCCCCAGGCGAGGCTGGACTAGAGAGGAGGCCAGCACCGCTTCCCCCTCCTCCAAACCAGAGGACACCCAGGTTCTTCTTGCTGCTCTTCAACGTCTGTTTCTCTTGGACAAGGGAAGATGCTGGTCCCTGCCCAACGTGGCTCTTGCAGGGGTAGAGAGAGGGGCCATTGGAGAATTCATTCTACAGGTTAGAGCCTGCCCCCCAACTTCTTCCCCACAGATTTACAGACAGGGAAACTAGGGCCTGACTCAAGCAGGGCCTGGTCACGGTCACACAGCTCCTTAGTGGCAGAGCTGACCAGACAGAAGTGAAGTGGCAGCCTCTTTCTAGGAACATTCTTCTCCCTTCGGGTCCAGCTCACCTCCACTGCACCCCACAGGGCCTGGGCCAACATCAGGCCTGTGCCTCTGGGAAGGAGGCGGCAGGGGCTGGCTTAGTCATTTGCACCCAACCTGGTGCTCCTCAGAGATCTTGGGTGCATGTAGGGTGTGGGTGGGCCTGGCTTCCAGTTACCCAGCCAAGCCTTTCCTTTATTTCTGTTTCTCTTTCTCTTCCCACTGTTTCCCCCAAGTCCTGTCTCAATATCGCTCTCACTCTCTCTCGCTCTTCTGAGTTCTGAACCTGTTTCTCCCAAGTCCTGTCTCAATATCGCTCTCCCTATCGCTCTCACTCTCTCTCGCTCTTCTGAGTTCTGAAGTCTCCCCTCTGGCCCTTAAATCACTCTTGAATCCTGGCTCTTAAAGCCGGATCTGGCCCCCTCCCCCATCCCCTCTGTTCCCAGGCTGGAAGAGGGCACGTGGGAGGGGAGGGGGCGGGCAGTCAAGGTCTCGGTACCCTCCTGGAGTGAATTAGGGGAAACCGAGAAATGTTAGCGCGATTAAAGGGCTGGGGGAGGAAAAGGGAAGTGGCAGCTGCTCCCTCCCTCCCCGCCCGTCCTCCCCGCCCCCTGAAGGCCCTCTGATGGAGGATTGGGGACTTGAATTGAAACCGGAGCGCTGGAGTGAGGAGGCGGAGAGACCCAGGCTCATCCCTCCTTTCCTTCTCTTATGCCCCTCCCCCCTCTTGTGCCGTTCTTTGAAATATTTCCCTATTTCTCAATCCCTGGTTGGTGTCCCAGGATTACTCAGCCTCTCCGGCTTTAGTCACCCACTCTACCCACTCCCTGGGTCCCCGGGGTGGGGGCCGAAGGAGGCTGAGAGGAAAGCTCTCCTCAGCCTGGCTGGGGCTGGGCCGGGCATTCCAGGGGCTTTAACCTGCCCACTGCCAGGGGACTCCAATACCCTTGTGAACTCAGCCATCAGAACGCCTGGCTCCTTCCCCCTTCACACCTTCACACACACACACACACACACACACACACACACACTCAGCAATGACACACTGTGATGGCAATAGCAGCCAACATTGCACATGTACCAGGTGCCTGGGCACTGGATAAGCACTGTCTCCTTTAAGCCTCACAAAAGCCCACTTCCCCACCTTCAACGTGAAAACAAATCACCTTGTTAAAATGCAGATTCAGAGAGTCTGCATTTCTTTTTCTTTTTGTGTTTTTATTGATTTCAGAGAGGAAGGTTAGAGAGGAAGGGAGAGGGTTAGAGAAATAGAAACATCAATGATGAAAGAGAATCATTGATTGGCTACTTCCTGCACACTCTACGCTGGGGATAGAGCCCACAACCTGGGCATGTGCCCTGACCGGCAATCGAACCATGACTTCCTGGTTCATAGGTCGGTGCTCAACCACTGAGCCACGCTGGCTGGGCATGAGAGTCTGCATTTCTAACAAGCTCCCAGGTGATGATGAGCCAGGGCCAGAATTTGTACTTCCCTGGAAGCCTGTGTCTCCTGTACAGCGGGGAGTTGGGCAGGGCACTGGCTCTGACACCATGAGCCTGTCTGGTCCCGGGATCATCTACTCAGCCTCATAGAAGACTGCTCATGCCTATCTCCTGTCCGCTCCTTTACCCTGCGAGGAGTGTGGAGGGCCATGCTGCTGCGGCTGGTGATACTCTGCATACACTTACATACACTTAGGCCTCACCCCTGCTCTAACCTGTGCTGGCTGGGGTGGCTGTGGCCTAGTCTTTTACCTTCTGAGCCTTGCTTTCCTGATCTGTGAAGTAGGGATAACACCACACACCTCACTGGCTTGCTGCGCTGAGGTCAGGAGCCATCATGCACATGCACCATCTAGCAAAGTGCTTGGCACAGAGTAGGCGGCAGTCGCTATTCTGAAATGAATGCCTGGAAGAGCACCCCCTCCTGACTGATAACAGAACCACTAACTGCCTACTCTGTGCCAGGCCCTGGTTGGAGGAGGAAAGGATGCACAAACCATAGTTGAAGGTCCCCAGGAGCCCAGCGTCTAGTGTGGAAACAGAGAGGCTCCTTTGAGAAGGGCCAGGACAGGATTTGAGAGCCACCTGGGCGCTGAGAGAAGGAACAGCTAGCATACTTTAAACCCTTACCTTAAGGGAATAGGTTAAAAGAGCTCGGAATCAAAGTTAGCCTGTTAGTCCAGAGCCCCTTACCTCTACCCCATGTGTAGAGATGGTCTTCCCAGTGGTCAGGGCTGGGTGCCTTGCAGGCATACATTAACTGCTTGTACTGTTAAGAGTGGCAGTTGGGCCCTAACCGGTTTGGCTCAGTGGATAGAGCGTCAGTCTACGGACTGAAAGGTCCCAGGTTGGATTCCGGTCAAGGGCATGTACCTTGGTTTCGGGCACATCCCCAGAGGGAGGTGTGCAGGAGGCAGCTGACTCTCATGATGTTTCTAACTCTCTATCCCTCTCTCTTCCTCTCTGTAAAAAAAAATCAATAAAGCCCTCGCCGGTTTGGCTCACTGGATAGAGCGTGGGCCTGGTGACTGAAGAGTCCCGGGTTCGATTCCGGTCAAGGACATGCACCTTGGTTGCAGGCACATCCCCAGTAGGGGGTGTGCAGGAGGCAGCTGATCGATGCTTCTCTCTCATCGATGTTTCTAACTCTCTATCCCTCTCCCTTCCTCTCTGTAAAAAATCAATAAAATATGTTTTTAAAAAATCAATAAAAATATATTTTTTTAAAAAGGAGTGGCAGTTGGGACCCACGGTTTAGCCCCTGACTTTCCTGTCTCTGCAGAAGCCGCTGATGGGAGCTCCACCCTGGGAGCAGGCGCTGGCACCATGGGCTTGAGCGCCCGCTACGGGCCCCAGTTCACCCTGCAGCACGTGCCTGACTACCGCCAGAATGTCTACATCCCTGGCAGCAACGCCACACTGACCAACGCAGCGGGCAAACGGGATGGCAAGACTCCGGCAGGTGGCAATGGCAACAAGAAGAAGTCTGGCAAGAAGGAGAAGAAGTAATGTGGAGGCCAGGCCTGGAGCCACTGGGCCGCCTCCCCCCAACCAGCCCAGCCTCTCCCTATCTGGATCCAGGACTGGGATTTTCAGGGCTCACCCCCAGGATCCTGGTGGGGCCCAGGCCATGCTCCCCTTGGGAAACAGAAACAAGTGCCCAGTCAACACCACCCTTTCTGTCCCCAGGGGATTGAATATGCAAAGGGAGTTCTGCTGGGAACCCCCATCCAATCAATTGCTGTGCCCATGGGGGTAGGGGGGTTAGTGTAGACATCATTTATCACACCTGCTTTAGTTATAGCTGAACTCCTCCATCTTCCAAATTCAATCAGGCCCAAACGTCCCCTGCCTCCCTCCTACCTATGCCCACTCTTTTCACAGCTCCTCTTTTTTGAGTAAGGTGGTTGGGGTGTTGAGGTACCTGGTGACCTAAAAAGGCTCAAATTCTGAAGAGTTGAAAGGGCATCGTGACCTCTTGGCCTCTCCTTCAATTCTGAAACTCCCCCCAAAGCATGGTTTGGTGCCAGTCCCTTCACCTCCTTCCAGAGCCCGAGTCCAAGCTCAAGTTTTGGGAGACATGGTCACCATTCCATGGTAGTGATGCTTGCTGGATTTAGGGAGGGCATTTTGCTACCATGCCTCTTCCCAATGCTCTAGGGACCAGTTTTTTTTTGTTTTGTTTTGTTTTTCATTGTTTGATGTTTCCACTGCATGCTGTGACTGCCCCCTCCCCAAACAAGAGACTCCATTGCATGTTCCAGGATCGTATATGGTGGTAAGGTAAAGAGGGAAGGGTGTGTATGTGGATGGGGGGAGGGAGGGTGGATAAATCTTGACCCATTAGTTAACAGGGTCTTGCAGGAGGCTCAGTATGTTCCCAGGGTACTGACCAGATCCCCAAATTCCAGCCATAAACCAAGCACCAGGCTGAGCCCTCATCTACCACATACATACAAGGCTCCACCCAAGCAGCCAGCTTTGGGCTGAGCTACCAGCACCAATGGATTTAAACTGGCATTGCAGTCCAAGGAAGGTCTGAGCAGGTTTGGGACCGGGTTCCCTGGAGAGGTCAGAGGGGCTCTGTGGGTGCTGGGTACTCCAGAGGTGCCCCTAGTGGAACGATCAGTGTGTCCCCTCCCTCCTACCCCAGCAGGAAGGGAGGGCCAGCTAGGCCATCCTTGGTCCCTGGGTTGAGGAGGCAAGGGATTAGAGTAGGGACCAAGTGGACAGAAATTCTCAGCCCAGGATCAGGCTTCTCCACGGGGCCCCTGCATTCCCCAAGCCTTGGTCCTTCACCTTGCCAGGTGCCATTTCTTCTCTGTGAAGGCCACTGCCCAGGCCCTCAGTCCACCCCCTAGTGGCCAGAGCCTGGTTCAAGTCCCCAGTGCCTCCTTGTGCATAAACCTTCCTCCGCCCACCCACTTCTGCCTCCCCCTCCCCAGGCCCGTTCATCCAGCGGGGCTGTGCTAGAACCCCACCCTCGTCCTTACAGTAGTGTAGAGACCCCCTGCCTCCCTCTTTGGCTGGTGTAGAATAGCCAATAGTGTAGTGCGGTGTGCTTTTCCGTGATGGCGAGTGGGCAGCGGGCGGCGGGCTCCGCGCAGCCGTCTGTCCTTGAATCTGCCTGCGGTGGCCCGTGCTGTGTTTTGTGCTGTGTCCACGCACTGCGGCGACCCCCTCCCTGGTACTGACTCCTATAAGCGCTTCTCTTTGCATAGTCACGTAGCTCCCCATCCCTTTCCTGTGTCTCACGCAAGTTTTATACTCTAATATTTATATGGCTTTTTTTCTTTGAAAAAAAATAATAAAAAGGTTTCTTCTGAAAGGCTGAACGTTTCTGTGTAAGCGATGGAGGCTCCTGACAAGTTTGGATGACGGAATGAGCTGAGGAGTGCACGCTGGAAGCCTGGGATCGGGAGGCGATTATGGTGTTTGCATCTGGGTTTTGTGTCATTGCCATGAGTCTGTGTGACTGTCAAATGTGGCTGTTTATGCTTGCAACACCGGTGTGCATATGTAATAGTGTGCGATTGACTGTAACGCTGCTGGTGGATCTGTATACCGTGTGCGCAATCTGCTTGCGGGTCCATGGTGGGGGAGGGGGATTTGAGCGTGGCGTGTCAGTGTGCAATTGAGCGTGCCGTTGTCTCCGTTACGGGTCTAAGCTCCAGTCTCCAGGCAGAAGAGGAGACCCGCGCGCGGGGGCGGAAGCTGGTTGGCGCCTGGCAAACTGCGCAGGAGAGGGGGCGGGGAACCTCTCCTTAGTGCCCCCCCTTCTCCGCTGAAATCACCACCCCCAGCGCCCTAGCGGGCTTCGCGGGAGGAGGCGGGGACTCTCCTCTGCCTGCTCCCCTCCTCCCCTGCTGCCTGGGTGTTTGGGAACACCGCGGGAGTGGGAGGGAATGCCGGAGGCGATTCTCCGAAGGCCGAATCTATATCCTGGGCCTCAGTTTCCCCACTTGGAATTCACCTTCCCACTCGTCTCTCCTCAACAAAGCCAAGGACATTGAAGAGCTCATCGCTTTCTTGCCTGGGGGTGGGTGAGGGTGGTCTAGGCTGAAAGGGCAAGGAGATAGCCCACCCCAGATCGCCCTCCCTCCTTCCTCCCTCTCTCACGCTTTTCCATTCACTAGTCGGCTCGCCCATCTCCCCGCCTCTTCCGCCTGCCTCCTGGAAGCACAGTGGGACTCCGAGGTTGCTGCAGCCTGAGGAGCCGCAAGAGGGAGAGGGAGGGAAGACCGGGAGGGGCGGAAGGACCTAAAGGCAGACCCACTGTTATCAAGAGGGTCAGCGAGGGTATGTCCAACCACCGGGAGGGACGAGGCTGTCTCTGGGCTTCCTCTGCACCGAGCCTCTCAGAGCCGGGTCCTGCGTTCTGCCAGCTCAAGTCTGTTGTCATGGAAACCAAGCCTTCCAACTAAGCAACTGGGGGGCGACTTTCCTGTGTGGGAGGGAGGGTGGTGTGCGCGGTTGCTGAGATGGAAGCGGGATTTCGTTTCTGGAAGCCAGGCTGCAGAAGGCGGGCAGCCGGGCGCCTGGGTTCTATTCTAGGCACAGCAGCCCAGCCGACTCTCAGAGCAGAGCGTGAGCAGCTGTGGTTGGCCCCTTAATTGGTATGTGTGCCTATATAGCTCTGAGTCAGAAACGCCTGGCCTCTGGGGGAGGAGAGGAAGCAGGCAGCCCACCCCCACATCCCCAGACCTACTGGGGAGGCAGCTGCCCAGGCTCCAGGGCTATTTAAAAGGCTTTTATTTCCAGTTCCAGAGCCTGCCCAAAAGGGTTTGTGGTCTTCTCCAGGCCCCTCCCGCCCTATTCTGGGCCTGCTCATAGATTGTAAGGTTTCTTTGTGCAGGTCTCAATGTGCTCGAACAAGTATGACTCTGAGCAGCAAGTCATCTGGAGCATGACCTCTGGCTTCTGACCTCTGCTGGACAGGCTCAGGTTTCCACCCCAGTGTATGCCCCTCTAGTCTGGAATGTGGTCTGTGGCCAACAAAGGGGGAGGGGAGATGGAAGAATGGGAGCCAGATGTTTCCCTCAGCAAGAGACACAGGTACTACCAGGAAACTGTGACATCTGGGGGCATGGAGAGGTGGGGAGCTAGAACTGAATTTAAAAACAGGTTCCAAGCCAAAGGTAGCAATTAGGAAGTGGGGGTCTTGAACTGGGGCCTTTATGGAGGGCAAATGGTGGGGCAGAAGCCACCATGTATTAATCATCTCTAGGCCTCACCCAGTTTCTGGCACATGATGGACACCTTGAACTTTTTTACAATGATTTGTCAGGTCAACCAGGGATTTGATGCAGGACAAGACGGAGGAGCCTGGATGAGAGTGAAAAGAACCAGCTCAGAAATTCACACAGGAGGCTGTACGCAGTACTGTTTCAATGCTTTATTAACAGTTGGAAACAAACCCAACAAACTGGAGGTGATGACATCCCAGAAGCCCGAGAGGCAAGGGAAATAGGTCTGCATTTTGTCCCTTTTTTAAATATTTATTTTTTATTAAATGCATCTTAGCAAAAGTAGATTAAAAAAGGAAGGGTCAAAGCCCCAGATGTCAGCAGGGAGAGGAAGGAGACCTAGGGAGCGGCAGGCCCTTGTACCAGTCTTTCCGGGAATAGCTCAAAAGAACTGCTGTTGGCCCTTCACACAGGCTCTAGCAACCAGAACCTTCCTCCTGGCCTCAAGGCCTCAGTGCAAGTGTCCCTAGTCTCCCCTTGCTCCCCCTGCACTAACAACCGTATCTGGGCCAAGCCTTAACAGTGCTATTCTCTCCCTACCCAGGTGGGACGATGAGAGGAGCACAGGGTGGCACAAGTGTCACCTTGAGCCAGTCTGAGCTTCCTGTGGCTGGGGCCACTGAACAGTTTGGCCTGCCCACTGTTCAGAAGGGAGCAGGAGTACAAAGTGTGGGGGCACTCCTGTGCCCACTTCCCCAGAGTGTCCAGTTAGCATCTGCACATTTGGCTTGATAAATATATTAAATTTATAAAAACTCTGGTCTCAGAGCTCCCACTACTCTTAGACCTGGCTCAGCTCAACCAGAGAAGAGCTTCCTCCTCCACCAGAACCGGGTGCTGGGAGAGAGAATCTGCACTGGCATCAAGGGCCCAGAGCTTGAGAGCTGAGGTGGAGGTCCAGGGGCCTGGTTGAGGCCTGTGGGGAGAAATCCCAAGGACTCTGGAACCTGCCATCAAAGCCTTTTACATTATGGAGGAGAAAGGGGGAAGGAAGAGTTATTTTTCTTTAAAAAAAAAAAAAATCTCATACAAAAATAGATCCATTTGCAAAACAATTTCTCAGCCAGGAGGCTCCACCTCCCATTTCCTTGGAGACAGAGGGTGAGGTGTTGGGATGGTCACAATACTCCAGATGAGATGCACCAAAGCTCTGGGGAGGGCAGGAGGGACCATGGCTCAGGAGCCTGGGGGTGGTGTAGAGGGTCCAGAGAGGCAAGGGCACAAAGCATGGCACAGGCTGGGGCAGGTCCCACAATGTCTCTATGCCCGGCCTGCCCACAGGCTCTGGCCTAAGCCCCAGTGGAATACATAAAGGTGGTCCAGGTCCTTTTTTGTTTTGGGAGGCCTTTCTCAGGAAGGTGGGATTTCTCACCACTTCCTTAGAAGTAGCTCCCAATGCCACACCACTAGTAATAAATAACAGCCAGGAGAAGAAAGAGCAGAGCAGAGGGGACCGCAATGAAAGGTGGGATATAGCCCAAAGGTTCACAAGCCCCATGCTGTTCTCAGGGCCAGAGAAACCACAAAAGAAAAGCACAAACCCAGCAAGATTGACCTATGGGAAGCCCACTGGAAAGCCAGGGGCTGAGAAAGCAGGTGGGACTCTGTCTGAGAGAGGCCTCAGAGTAACAGAGAGGAGACACTTGGGGTTAAGGCAGCGAACACAGAGCCTGCTTTGGTAATGCAACAGCCAGGGCTGGCTGGGTTGGGCTCAGGCCTCCCCCTACCGCCCTCTCCTGCTGGCCCCCAGGCAGCTGAAGCTGTGTATGACAGACAGAGAGCAGCAGGCCAGAGAGAAAGACAGGGTCGGGGCGATGGGAACGGCCACCCACAGGGATATCTCCATGACCCTTTAGGCACAGGCTGCAGGCAGGACAGTCTGGGGCTCCACTGAGGAGGAGCCTCGGCCACAGGACCCAGATTAGCTTGCACGGCCAACCAACTCCTTGGTTTCCTCAAGGATTGTGGGGACCCCATCACTCATCTTGGGCACCTTGGCAGCAACAGCAGTCATGGCATCGTCCTTGGTCAGCTCCGAGGCCAGCAGAGATGTGACTGCACACCCGGCTTTCCTGTTGGCTGCAAGAGAAGACATGAGAGAGCTCGTACACAGAAGGCCCCTCTGAACTCTGGGGTAGACATTTAGCCAGACGCCATGCAAACGTGGCTGCCCTGTCCGGTTCACAGAGGCCCTTATTTTGAAGGAGGGACAGAGGTCTAAGAAGTGAGGAATATACCCTTGGGCAGGGTGCAGAGAATATAAGAGAGTGTGGTACAGGCAGGAGAGCAAGCTGTGCTCTTGCTTTCCTTTGTGAAAATAGTACAAAGGTTTGAATACAGCTAGACAGACAGAACAGGGTTCAAGTGTTAACTGTTTAACTTAGAGAGATAAGTACTCAAAATCGATTTTCTCATCGTAATGTTGTTGGAATGAAATAGCCTCAAGCTTAGTGAACAGTATTATCCTTGTTTTGTTGGCAGTTCCCAGGAAGTTCCTAGGCCAAAACCACTTTGAGTCAGCCCTGGGAGGGCTGTCCCAAGCAGAGGGGGGCCTTCAGCAGGCAGCCAGGGGGACTCCTGCAAAGAGGAGCGGCAGCCACGGGCTGACATCACATGCATGTCACACTCCCCACATGTCCCCCAGCACTCCCTCTCCCCACATGCCCCCACCGTAGCTCTCTCCCACCTCAAGGGTAGCAGCTGTGATATGAATGCCAAGGGCCCTGCATGGTGTGTGTGTGTTGGGGTGGGTAATGAGGTAAGGAAAGGTAAGTCGGGGAAGGCAGAGCTAGGGGCAAGGATGGCCAGGAGGGGTCCCTACAAAGAAATCTCGGCCCCATGGGCTAAGGCATTGTGAAGCTCCAGTTGTCATCCTAAACAGGAAGAGAAGAACCAATCAATCCGTGAGTTTCTGTTCTAACCAGAAACTGTTGGCAGCCGTCCCCAGACTCTCATATTCATTAATGGAATCCAGATTTACGGCCCCAGTACCCCCAACAAGAGGCAGTTCCTTGGTACCACTCCCATCTCTGCTGTCTGCCTCTTCCCAGGCCCCGGGAGCAGCGTGGACACCACATGTACACAAAGAGCTGCCTGCCTGGGGTGACAGAATCAAGGACGCTGTCATTCCTTTTCTACAAAATGTCTGAAATGGGCAAATTCATAGAGGGCTAGGGGTGGGGAGAAGGAGGAGTCACTGCTAATGGGTATGGAGTTTCCTTTTGGGGTGATGAAAATGTTTTGGAATTAGATAGTGGTGATGGTTGCACAACCTTGGGAACATACTGAAAAACACTGAATTGTATACTTTAAAAGGGTGTATTTTAGGCATGTGGTTTATATCTCAATTAAAAAAAAAGGAAGAGCTTGCTGGGTCATGGGAAAGCTGAGTGGAGAAAACAGTGCCTGCATTTTAAGGGGGCAGGACAGATGAAGCCTGGCTCTCCTAAATGCAGACTTCATTCCTAACTGCATTCTTCAACGCAGGCAGCTGTGTCCCGCCTGAGGGAAGGGGTCCAGAGGAGCAGTGAACAAAGCACCCAGACAGTTTTGCCTTCTTTAGACCAGCAAGAAGCTTTAGGGAACGCAGAAGCCAAACAGGGTTAGAGGGCCCATGTCATCACCAGGGTTGTTAGCTTCTCTGCAGAAATGTGACCCAGTGCCACTGTGTTCACACGGCCAAGGCTACCTACAGGTCAGCAGGGAGCACACAGCATGCCCACAGTCACCAATTTATAGGTCTCTTCCTCCTCCTCCTCCTCCTCCTCCCAGGGGCACAAGAGGTTGTCTATCAAGAGGAGAAAGAAGAGTGAAGGCCCTGACAGGCACGAGGCCCATCTGGTTACAGGTGGAAGGTGTGTGATCTAGACTCTGGGGCTTTCACACGAACCACTCCTTGGATTATGAACATAAAACACTGCCTCAGTGGCTGACAGGGGAGGGAAAGACATGTACTGGAGTGTGACTAGCATGGTCTCTCTGTATATGCTTCTCGTGTCTTCCTTCTGTCTCTCTAGCAAATTCTTCCTCAGATCCACTTAATTTCCACTCTTCTCTGAAATACTCGCTTCTCTCGTCCCTACTTCTCGTGTCTGGAAAAGCAGTAATATCACTTTACTGCTCCTTTGAATTTACTCTCCAGCAGTTAAGAAAATCTGCAAGTGTGTGTGTGTGTGTGTGTGTGTGTGTGTGTGTGTAGACGTTGGAGTTCAAGTGGTATATGTCTCAAGCCTCTTCTCTCTTTGATTTCTTCCTCTAAACTCAGAAGATACTAAAATCAAGCAGTGTTTCCAAATTTTTCTAGAGTAAAATAAAGTTTCTGGTTACTGATTTCATAAAAATTAGGCGTGGATGGTAGGTGGGGAGAAGACCAAAACTTCCCTTTTAAGCCTAGAGCAGAGGTACTCTAGGGATGGACACATGCGGCCTAAGGTTAGCATAAGACATGAGAGCTCTTGCCGGGCTGGTATGACTCAGTGGTTGAGCATGGACCCATGAACCAGGAGGTCACGGTTTGATTCCCGGTCAGGGCACATGCCCAGGTTGTGGGCTCAGTCCCAGTAGGGGGTCTGCAGGATCCTGGCAGCCGATGTATGATTCTTTTCTCTCTCTCTTGATGTTTCTCTCTCTCTCTCTCTCTCTCTCTCTCTCTCTCCCCCGCCCCCTCTCTCTCTCTGAAATTAATGAAAACATATTTTAAAAAAGGAAAAAAAGAAATGAGAGCTCTTATAGGAACGGGGAAGAGAATCGAGGAATCCTGGCTTCACTGTGTCTTCAGGGCCACAGTCAAGCTGAATAGCTTTTATAACCCAGAAGAACTGACCTCTCCCCTGCCCTTCCCTAACTCGGGTGCTTGTGTTAAGACTACTGAAAAGTAGCCGCAGAAAGCAGATGAGCATTTTGACTCATGGGATCAGGGAGGATTATTAAGTCATAAGAGAACAGTCCCACAGAGTATGGGGAAAAGGGAGCAATCTTGAGACATCAGTCAAAGCTGAGGCCAGATTCCCAGAAGTCAGGGGTGGGCTAGGATAAAAACACCAGCAAAATCAACCATATAACACTAGTATAGATGAATCAGAAGGTTAATGGTTTGGAAAGACATTTATAAAACACAGGCTAGGAACCACTACTAAAGAGGAAGTGCTCTTGTTAATAAGCTTCCTTAGGGAAGAGGAAACTAGGACAGATGGGGCGATCATTACCATCCTAAAGAACTCATTATTGTCTCAAGTCTCCTAATTATAATTCCTGTCCTAATTTTACCGAAGTGGAGGGAGAATCGGAGAGGTATAGGAATACTCTTCACCTTCTCCAGACAGGTGGTCATCAGAAAACTCCCTGAAGCAATTTCACCCTGTGCAGGGGTCTCCTTGCTGGAAGGTATGAAAGAATATTTCTGCCTACACAGAAGGGTTGCTGTCATCTGCTGTCTGATCCTGTAGGCTTAGTGGAAGTAGCCCTGGACTTGGCTTTGCTAAAGTGGCTACAGTTCTGGCTCTATCATTAGCCACCTCTGTAGACCTGGGCAAGGTCTTATCTGGGTCTTAATTCTATTACCTATGAAGAGGTTAGGTGCTAATCTCTAGAGGGCTTTAGCGCCTTCCCCAACTCTATTAAGGTTCTATTAGTGTAGGTGGAGTCTTCAGGGAAGCAGGGAAGTAGCAGAGGAAAGGAAAGGGAGATGAATTTCTTTCTTCCCTTGACTTTTATCCCATGAGCAGATGGCCTGTATAAGAGGCTACCATTCAGACATGGAGATAAAGTTGAGTCATTAAACCACAAGCAGACTCAATCATCAGCCTGAAAGAGTAGCAGCAATACAATCACATGGATTCTTCCCCTTGACACTCAAACCATTGTTCTCCCACACCCTGCAGAGCCCAGCAGTTTACATGTCACTTTTAATGAGCCAGCCCTGATAGTAACTCTCCTCTTCCAACTCCTCAAAGCGTCTTTGTATACTGGTCACTCCCTCAGGTCTCCAGAGGCCAAATATTTTTTGGTAACATTCCTTTGAATTCTAGGGAGAAGGCTACTGTCTTTGAATGGGGACAGCTGCCTCTCTGCGACTGAGGAGGCTGTGAGGCAGAGCTGCTTGATAGTGCTTGTTTTTTGGCTCCAATTGGCCAGGAGGAACAGTCAGACACCACCAAGCACCAGTCCAGCAGCCACCAGGGAAACCCACAGCCACCAGAGCCTTTATAGTTTGAGAATCCTATTGTCACTGTATTAAAAGATAATAAAGCTGGAAAGAACCCCAGAGGCCATTTCAGTCCAACTCTCACTTTATACATGAAAAAACTGAGTCCCAGAAACTTGTGTAAGGTAACCAGACTTGTCTAAGGTAATTAGACTTGACCTGGGGCCTTTTGATCCTTGTCCTATGCTCTTTGCACTCTACTTTGATGCCCAGCCGTCTATTTACATTTAATGTAAGGCCACATCACTTTATATGATGTGAATGCACCCAGGTCTAAACAGCTTACCAGAGTAACTAGAAATGTCTCCCCTGAGAGATACTCCCTGATGTTCAGGTGTGTTCAGTGAACCCAGAGCCCAGAAAGATAAGGCTATAAGATGGAGCCAATTTAAGAAGTATGTAGTTCTCATTTTCAACTGCTTTTTGCATCAATATCTCCTATTATAAGTCTCCTCCCATTCCTTCTTACACTGGGAAACAGTGCCTGGACTAATTCAGATCCTCTGCTGAAAACCCCTGCTTCCTCTGCCTGGGCGTCCTGGTTTTCCCACTTGGGAAGAGTGGCGCATGGGCCTCCCCAGCAGAGGGAAGCTGTCTGGCTGCCTGTGTACAGGAAGCATCTGGGATTCTAGCAGTTCCACAGGAAGAGACTTAAAAGGGAATTCCCCACCAAAAGTCTGATACAGGCTGGCGCTTAGCTGAGAGGATACAGGAAAAACAGTGAGATGCAATGTGCTTTTGTTTGGCTAGAAATGCTTAATGGAAGGCCACATTACCTTATATGGTGGGTGGGAAACCATGTCGCAGAAGCTCTAAAGACTAAACACAAAAGCAATACTACCAGCTGCGTTCTCTACCAAACACTGATCTATAGACTAAACGCTTTGTCCTACTCTATCCCCCTCTCATCCCCTCTAGAGAGCCTGTACCCAGAGGATGCCAGAAGATGGGTAAGAGTCATAACTAGAGATCCTCCTGTTAGGTCACAGAACAGAATTTCCCTCTGGATATTCCCAGTATGGGTAGAAACAGGCAGTCAGTCATTACAGCTGAAACTCACAGTGACCCACAACACTTGGGCCAGGACTCTGAGTTTATATGAGTTAGCATTCTCTATACCCTGGATCCTCAGGTTCCTTTCCAGGCTCTGACAGGTACTATACACCCTATAGATACCACTGTGTCAATAGCTAAGCACTGGCCAAAGCAAACTGTACAACTCCTCCTCTTTACAATAACCTTAAAGTAAAGGTCATATCAAATAGGCCTACAAATGTACCAGCCAGGGAATAAGAACATAGCTCCAACTCCCTTAGAAGTAGAAATCCTTAATGATGCCTTTTCTGTAATTTCCACCCTTCAACCTAGAAAAGAAGCCATCATCCCTAGTCCCAAAGGTACTTCACTGACACAATGGTGCAGGTCAATACCACATGAGGGGTAGCCTTGGCTATATCTTCCGGACTAGTCTGCAGGCTACTGTACACTTCCTTCAAAGGAACTTATCCGCTGATCCTTCCTCATACTAATGCCTAGATCATTTGTCCTCCTACCCCCATAATTCTTCTTAGAATTCTTCTGGCTCAGCGTAATCCACTTATATCTTCTAAAGGTGGGGAGAAGAGATTGCAGGGGAGTCAATGGGGAAGGGCAAGTGCAATGGGGGTCAACTGCACCCAAGGAGAAGGTAGTTCTCAGACACAGCATACTCCTGCCCTTGAGATGCTCCTTTATATCTGGGGAAAACGATGTCTAACCTTCTCTATAGGATTTTATACTTTTTATTAGTCTCTATCTCTTCTGCTTGTGAAGTTGAGAGTAAGGACTCCTCGCTTATTTTTTCTTTGTGCTTCCTACATCTAACATAGTTTTGTATTTGGGTCAATTTTGTTCATACACTCAAACGCCCACCTAAATCTCTGTGTCCTGCACCATGGTTAGCTTGCTCCAAGTAACTGCTTCAAGAATGGGAGAAATGCAAGAATAATCAAATGTAAGTGATCCGCGGTCAGTACCTCAAGCCCTAGTTCTCCAAGTCAGTACTTTCTAACATGGGAGGAAGAGGACTACACAATCCACTTCCAGATGCAGAGACTATCTGGAGGAAGTTTCTAAACCCTCAGAGCGTGTTTACCCCCTCTTCAGCCCAGGACAAGCAGGACCAGTAGTAGAGAGGCTCACCCCCTTCACCAGGGGGAAGGCTCCATTTGCTTACTTACCCTGACGGGGTCCTCTCTTCCGTCGGAATGCTGCACCTGACTGCAGGGCTTCCAGGAGACTATCCATCACACCTGTTTCATCACCTTCTGTTATGAACAAAGATGGAGATGTAAGCTCTTCAGCCCAAGCAACATGCATGTGTTGAGCCCCACACAAAATGCATGATGTCTGCTTGGCTCCCCTCGACCACAATGGCTGGGGGCTCAGCGCAGACAGAGGGCTCAACCTCAAGCCTCAGCCCATGCTTACGTGTGTCTGTCTGAAATGGTTCAAACAAAAGGTTTCATTGTCTACTAACCACTGCAAACCTTGGGATATTTTCCTGCAGTACTCTTTCCTTCCCATCCCAATCAGGACAAGCACAGGGAATTGCAGAACTGCCCAACTCCAAGACCAGGATACGGACCGAGGCTGGGATTATGAAATTAGCAAGGAACTATATAATTCTCTCTTTATTCCAAAGTGTTTCACTCCAATTTACATAAAACTTTCACGCAGCACCTGGTTCCAGTTTCAGAGCAGGGCGGAGAAAAGATGAGAGAGAACTGATCAAGAGTACATTTCACTGAAGTACTGCCCCCAGTGGCTGCATAGACCCAAAGCCAGCTAGGCATCTAAGAGAAACATCCTGACTGGAATACAAAGAGTTAATGTAGAATCCTCTTTCCAGCCTGGCTCTGTTTCCATGGTAACAGCTCAGGATGGTGAAATCTGAAACTGCGAAATCCCAAGGAGCCCCAGGCTGCCAGCTACAAGGCTAGGCTCACTGCTCCAAGCGCCACCTGCTGGCTGAACATCACCAATGCAGCTGACCTACATTCCAACCTCATTTGCTTGCCCTGGGCATCCCAGGGCCTGGACAAGGTCGGGTGTAACCTGATGACTGGGTACAGCCCTCATACCTGGTCAGCTGAGCTCTACATTTCCCTATTACGTCATAGACAGTACCTGGGGGCAAACCCTAGGTGCCTGAGGAGAATGGGGGAAGGTGAATATTTGCTGTGGGCTTAAATAGCATTTCTAGAATAGTTTGTGGCTTATACACAACTGGGATAAGAGCAGAGAATTGCTTCCCAGAAAAGTATGAAGAAAAGATGAAATGTTCCTGCTGCTTCAGGTCCCTGATATTACCACAACAGGAAATACCAAAGAAAGCCCCTGGAGCAAGAGGTATTAGAGCAGCCCTTGCCTTTTGTGCTCAGCAAACACTCTCATTCTTGCCAAACCCGGCAGCCCTGGAACTCCTTCACTCAGATGGCTCACAGCCTCTCAGGTTCAAGAAGGGTGGCATCAGCTCAGTGCTGTGCACAATTTCCGCTGGAGCAGCCAGAGGGGGGCAGGGAATCAGCAGCAGGAAAGAAGCCGAGACAGGAAACAGAGGGCCAGTAATTGAGGCCATATGTTTCAACAAAGCCATGCTTCTGGTAGTAAAACAGAGATTCTGTTGGAGAAAGAAGAGGGTGGCCAGGTCCCCTGCCCCCTTTCCAGAAGTTCAATCCATTTACAATCTGAAAGGTATATATGATTGTGCTGAAGTACTTGGGACACAGTAGTTGGTGAAATAGGCAGAAAGGGAGGGAAAGCCACCATTAAAAGACAGAAGCAGAGCCAGGAAAACATTGTGGGGAAAAGAACAAAAGACTTAGCAGAGGGTATGAAAGTAGGCCAGAGGCACTTTGGACAGGCAGAAGGGAAGAGTACGAGTTACAGCAATCCTAAAATCACTGGGGAGATGAGACATAATGCAGGAACCAGCAGAGGAGAAAAGAGGGTCTGAGCCTGGAGAATTGGCCTGTGCATGCCACTGAATCGGGGTGAAAGTCCAGCATCAGGGTCTTGGAGGGAGAAGGCTGCCAACTATCACTTGCCAGGAGCTGAGCTCAGACATGAGCTGTTCTCTCTGGCCTCCAGATTCTAGACAGAGAAGCTTTCCAAATGTTCCTGTCTCAGCCCATCAGGCCTTCTCCTCCGCTTCTTACCTGCATTCATGTCTATGAGTTGCTCTCTCTTCTGCTGCTTCTCCAGCCGCTCCTTCTCTGCCTTCTCCTTGGCTAGTTTTGCTCGCCGCATCTTTTCCTCTGTCTCCCGCCGCTTCTGGTTCTCTTTGACGGCTTGCTGTGGAGGAAACAAATGAACATACGGGCATGCATGCACTCACCCATACGCACACCCACCAGCAACCATCAAAAACCCAGTGAAAGTGAAAAATGTTCCCAAGACTCAGTCAGCAGGCATTCCTTGCTCACCACAAACATATTCTTAAAGTTGTGGAGATCCATGAAGAATTCTTCCACAGACACCTTCTTGGGGTCAAAGAGGAAGTAGTCGCCCAGCTCCTTATAGAGGTTCTCCATGTTAGAGTGCATCATCCGCAGCTTGTTATACTGTTCCTGCGCATCCTTCACAAAGCTGTGCAGCCACGGAGTCAAGGACCAATGCCAAGAAGCACACCCAGTTCTCTGCCCAGAGGAAGATTCAAAGATGCACGTTGGCATACACGAGGATGTTCAATACAGCACTATTTATCTCGAGGCAAAAGCCAGAAGCAATCTATATAACCACAAAGGGGGTATGTTAAACCACCTATAGAATAGGAGGCAGCAGTTAAAAAGAGGCTGTTCTGCATACAGTGCTGTGGAAACAGGGCTAAGACAGATTGTGGGCAAAAAGCAATACAATGCACACAATGCAATTTTTGCATCACATAAATTCATGAGGTGCAAATCAAAAAGAAGTCCAGTGACAGTAGGATACTTCTGGGGAGTGGGGAGGGAACACCTGTGTGTGTGTGTGTGTGTGTGTGTGTGGTGGAGCTGGGCAGAGGGAAAGGGATCAAGGGGGACTTTTAGCTTATCTGCATGGTTTGCTTCCCCTGCCATAACAATGGAATGCTTTCAAAACCTATGAAAATAAAGTTTTTAAGAGGGAAAAATTGTATATCACCAGATCTAGCCTGTTGCTCCCCCTCTCCCCCCAAGTTCTATTCCTTCCTAGGGGGCAACTCCCTCCTTTCAAGAAAGGATATAGTCATTTTTTCAACAAACTTGTCTTTCTCATCTGTGGCAGCTGGGAAATTTTGAACATCACGTTCCACATCAGAAATTTGTTTCTTCATCTGATCTAGATTCTTTTGCAAGTTTTCAGCAGAAACTAAAGGAAACACAAAAACAGACAGGAAGAGCTTACTAACTCATGTCTTAAGACCTTGAGCGCCTGCCCTTCGGGGCATAGTTCCAGTCTATACAGAGAGCTGGTATTTAATTATTTTAGTTCTCTTATGTACTATCTAGTTGTTCTTCACTTCTTTCCAGTGAAACTATAAGTTACTTGATGATTGAGTCTAAGCTTCATTTGATTCACAAAAATCTGACATCCCCTGGAGTCCTGCTTTCATGTATTTTAGAGAACAGGGTTTGCAGGAAGGAGACATATACAAAAAGAGAAATCTGTTCCCATTTCTACTGAATGCTGCTTTTTGTTTAAATAATTTCAGGATGGTGAGGCCTAGTTTTTGTTAATCTAATCCAGTCTATGTTTTCTGAATGAGAATAACCGTTGTTCTAGACTAAAAACACCTGCCTTTCTTCCAGTTGTGGTTGGTGTTTCCCTAGGAAGGCTAAGAGTGCTTCCCACTTCTGTACACAAGGACAATCTCTTCTGCCTGATACTCCTCCCTTGTGGCTTACACATCATGCTTACACTCTCTCTCATTCCCACCTAAAACAGCCTGCACTGAAAATAATCTAAAATATAGACTCTTATTTCCCTTCCCATGCAGAGATTTGTGGGGCTTGGAAGGACCTTCTAGCTTCATGCAACCTGCTCACCTCGGCTGGCTTTCTCCACGTGGGCAAGCTCATCTGGAAACTTGAGGACATCAGGATAGTCATTCTCACATAACTCAGCCAAGAAATGCAACAATGTCATCTTCTGATCTGTGGACTTAGTGTCTCGAAGCTTGGGGAAGAGAAGAAATTGTTAGTCCTGACATTGTTAGTCCAAGATCACCTCAGGCCGACAGTAATTATCACATTGGGCTCATAGAGGCTAGCAGCCTTCCCTTCTGTCATCTGCCTAACCCTCTGGCTCACCTTACAGAGGAAGCTGATGTTGAAGCCGAAAGCCCCGGCATTCCTGGAACCAGCATTCATAAAGTTGCCGACAAGCAGGGTAATCTCCAGGAGGTTAGAGAAGCTCTCACTCTTCCGCACCTCCTCGCATGCGGCAGTCACGGAAACAATCTCTGGCTTGATGTTCTCCACTTGCTCATTGAACAGTAGCTTGAAGAGGATGGCATTGAGGCGAGGCCGCAGGCGGGGCACAGTGCCCATCTGGGGGGAAGACAGCACCTCTGTCAGAGCCAGCAAAGACAGAAAAATAAGAAAACACTACAGGCTTGAGTCACCTATGGGAGGATAAGAGTTCCAGAGCAGGGAGGAGAGAGAGAAAGATAGATTCAAAACAGACAAGAGGCAAGGAGCAAGTGCCCCAGCTGCTCTCAGGAGGAGGGAGTAAGGGGGTCAGAGAAGAGCCTGTCGCCACAGGCCTCACTCACCACCACGCCAAACTGCTCCGACTCTGCCAGATCATCATATTCGTCCTTCAGTTCGGAAAGCATTTTCAACTGCTCTGGCTCTGGCATCTGCTTAATAAGGTTCTGAAAGGGAGAAGGGACTGTCTCAGTGTGAGGGGGATGAGATGACAACATGAGCCTCCTGTCAGGCCCTCATTCTGTCCAAGGATCACTAAGAAGGAAACATGGGCCTGTGGGGTGGGAGGAGAGGCAGCTAGTGAGATGGCAGGACTTCTGAAAAGTAGACCAGAAACAACCTGTCCACCAGAGATGGAAGCTTACCCAAAGCATTCTTTAAGTCAACAATGCCAGAGGAGGATCCTTATCTTCTAGGCCAGTGGTTCTCAACCTTCCTAATGCCACGGCCCTTTAATACAGTTCCTCATGTTGTGGTGACCCCCAATTTCATTGTTACAAATTGAACATAATTAAAGCATAGTGATTAATCACAAAAACAATATGTAATTATATATGTGTTTTCTGATGGTCTTAGGCGACCCCTGTGAAAGGGTTGTTCGACCCCCGTAGGGTTCGCGACCCACAGGCTGAGAACCCCTGCTCTAAGCAGAGAGGAAACGAGGCTAGTGCACAGTGATGCAAAGAGCCAGCTCCAGAACAACCACCTTGCTCCTTACCTGGATCATAGACTCAGTCAGAACAGCCTCATTCACCTCCAGGATGACATTCTTAATCTCTTGATAGGGCATGCGGAAGGAACCCAGAAAGATAGCTGCCAGAAAATGAGATACAAAGACATGTTCTCATCTCTTCCTCCTTCCAGCCCATCCACAAGCCTTTGCTGGACAATTTTCCTACCAGTGAGTGCTCTTTTGAAGTCACTATCAGAAACCTCCACCAGCTCCACTGCTTACATAGTCAGAATCCAAGTTCCTGAGTCCATCCAGTGTGTAAGGTTCCCACCTCCCAACTTTCATTAATCCCTGCACTGATGTCACATACCAGCCGCATTGTTCCAAGCACTGCATTCTACAAACACTGTGACGCTATGCCTTTGCTCCCAGGAAGCCTTTGATCTTCTCTATATACATCAAAGACGTTCGTCCCACTCTATTTTAGTTCCACTCTCTCATGACTCCATCCTCAAAGCGACCGTTGCCTAGAAATGTTCTGATTCTTAATTTAACTGCCATATCCCATTTCCTAACAAACACTTCCTATCCTTCTAGCTCTCTTGCTCACTCATCTCTAAATGGAAGAGCCCACCCTCTCTGTCTTCCTCCTTCCCTCCCTCTCTCTCCCATTCTCTCTCTGAAGAGGGCTGATCATTCCATTTTCTCAGAATGTATCAATTCCACTTATAGTCTACCACTTCACTCTCCACTATTATTCTCATTTCTAATACCCCTATGTCTGTTCACTTGTTTCCTTCTCCTTCCAGTCCCTGGTTAATCTAGCCATCTGATTTCTCTATTCTTATACCTGGGCTGATGAACATGCATGCTAGTAAACACTGCAGGTCAGAATCTAGGAATTTGTGATGGCGCCAAGGATAGCTGAAGCCGCAGTACTGCCTAGTAATCCTTCTAGTGTCCCTAGTCCATGTTCTCCAGGCTGTCTTTGCAGCTCCATCAAAATGTCCCCATCCTCCCAATTGTCCCACCTCTTCCACATTAGTTCTAAGAAGACCTTGCTTCTCTTAAGTAAAAAATTGAAGCCACTGGTGAAATTACTTGCTCAGCTTTCTCTTATGCCTCTTGCAAACTGAGCATTAGGGGCCCTCAGATGGAGGCAGACAAGATAAGGCTTGGGTAAGGACTTTGGAATCATCTAGAAGAAAACTGTGCCAACACTTCTGTAAGCTTATTAGCAACTATACCCATGTACTCATCCTTTCAGCATGTTTCACTAGAACAGGAGGTCCTAAGGATCTTTACTTCAGCTTATATACATACTCCAGTTTCTTCTATCTTTAAAAAACAAACAAAATCAAAACCCTCCCTGACCCAATATCCTTAATTATCAACTTCTTTCTTTCCTTCACTTTATAACATTCTAAAAATGTCTATTGTCTCCCACTTCCTCAGCTCTCATTTATTGTCTTGTCCCCACAGAGTCCATGAAAAGATGACAATCACTTACATACTGACTGCTCTGCCCGAACAAGCCAGCCCTCATCCTTCACTTACTTCACTGTTAACAGTTCTTTCAACTCAGATTAAGCAGTACACCCTTTAGAATGATCTCTAGCATATTCCCCCAACTTGATTTAGATGACCCTTTTCCTAGTGCTCTCACAAGCACCCTAGTACCCTACCCCTCCATCACAGTACTTATCACACTGTGCTATTAGCATTATTTACTTTTCTATCTCCACCCAAAGTGTGGTTCATGAATAGGAACTATGTCTCTGTTTTGTATCCCCAGCACATAAGAGGCACTTAATAATACTTGAATCACTAAATTACATCTCCTAGGCCATCCTACCCTAAACTAATCTCAATCCTCTTCCTGAATTCTATTTTCCATATCGATGTCACTCAATTGGAAATAATAATACACTACTCCACCGTCTTGTATCATTTTCTAAAATAACAATTACTCATATTTTGTTCCCAGAGATAAACCTTGGGAGGAGGAATTATGTCACATTACTTTAGTCTCCATAAAAGGACTTACCCACAGACTATTTAGCCAAGGATAATGTAAAGGCTTACTGCTCTCATTGTATCACTGACTTCACTTACGGGTATGTGTACTCATTATTTGTGTGACCTTTGCCAAGTCACAATAGCTCAACTTTAGTTTCTCATTTGAAAAAATGGGGACAATAGCAATATTGCATGATTGTGAGTACATTTTACGAACTATATACCTTTTCATCTCTGGAACACATGCCTTGCATGTGCCTAATAGAGCCTGCAACATGGCAGACCTTCAAATATTTGTTGAGCAAATATTTAAATCTATGTTCTTTGGGAGATCAACAGTTGAACAAAAAATGAACATGTATTCTGATCATCAAATAAGTACTACCTGTATCAACTTTGCAGAGGAGTCTCTGGCCTGAAATTCTGCCAATCACAGTTACTGGTATAAGGAGCAAGTTCAGAACAGAACTCTTTGGAGTTATTGATCTGACTCTGAGAAGTCCAGGATTTACATTATTTATCCTAAACCACAAAGTTATTTTAGATTTAACTGAAGTCAAGCCAACACCTGCATTTAAGAGGAAATACTTAAAAGAAAGTAAGAAAGAAGGAAATGTACACAGTAGCTGGAACATTTGTGGTAGATTGTCTGTGGATACAGTGGAAACAGTAAGGGCTTTGAAATAAAAAAAAATCCAAGGTTCAAATCTTCCTAGCCACGTGACTAGGCAAATTCCTAAAAATCTTAGCTTCTATTTCCTTGCCCTAAAACTATATATTAACAATTTTGCAGAGCTATTGAAGGGATTGAACAAGATCGAAAATTCACTATGCAATGCCTGGCATACAGCAGGAACTCAACAAATGGAAGTTTCATATCAAGGGACCTTAGATCCACCAGAATTAAGCTCTTAGAAGAAATCCTTCACATTTCAGGTAGTTCAAATCATAGAGTTACTTACAGAGATTCTGGGCCGTTTTTGAATCCAACACCTTTAACTCTTTTACTTTTTTCTTTTGCACAGATTTCTTTTCTTCTCCACCTTCCTGATCTTTCTTGGCTAGAAAGGGAAAGATTAGAAAAGCAACATTAAGGACAAACCACATCTGTGCCTTAATGAACTAGTGTTCCATCCTGGAAAGGCCCCTCTCATCCTATTAACAATGGTCTCCTATTATATTCCTTCAAGGCAAACCTCCTCTTTAACCAACCACCCTTCATCACTGACTTCCCCCTCCAACTATAAAAAATAATCTCATTTTCATTTTTAATAGTTATCAATAATGCTTTCCCACACACATCTTATCTACTTGTAGGGAGTAGCAAACTTTCTGTAAAGGACCAATTTCGTAAATATTTTAGGTTTTGCAGACCATATGGTCTGCCTCAGGTCTGCCACTATAGCATGAAAGCACTCATAGACAATACATACACAATATGGTTGTGTTCCAATAAAACTTTATTCACAAAAACAGGTGGTCAGCTTGAGGGGCTATAGTTTGCCAACCCGTGTACACAAAACTCAGAGTTTATTCTTGTATTATTATTTATTAATTATTGTATTATTTTCCATATGAACTGTAAACCTACAACTATAAACCCTTGTGTATGTGTATATGAGAGGAAGAGAGAGAGAGAAAACATTTCACCCAAAAACAGAATAAACATTTTTTTCAAGTGCTCACTGAACATCCATATCCAAGAACGACCATATCTGTGCCATAAAAATCAATAAGATAGATAAACATCTAGGAAGACTAACCAAGATAAAAAGAGAGAAGACAGGAATGAAATGGAATACCACTTCAGGTCCTGAAGCCATGAGAAGGATAATAAGGGAATACTACAAACAACTTTGTACTTGTAAATTGGACAACTTACAAGAAGTGAACCAATTCCTCAAAAAACAAAAACTACCAAAAGTCAACCAAGATGAAGTAGATAACACAAACACTACTTGAAACCACTTAAAAAACTGAATTCATAATTTAAAAAGGTTCCTGAGAAGGAAATCTCCTGGCCAAGAAGATTCCACTAGAGAATTCTACCAAACATTTAAAGAAAATTAATGCCAATTTTACACAATCTCTCTCCCAGAAAACAGGAGGGAACACTTCCCACTTCATTTTATGAATGCATTGAATTATTAACTTTAAATGGTTAATTTTATGTTATGTGAATTTCATCTCAATAAAAGAATTGGTAATTGTTTAAGATATTAAAAATCACTAATTAAATCAGTAAAATTTGAATATGGATTTATATTAGACTAGAGGCCCGGTGCACAAAAATTTGTGCACTCGGGGGGCGGGGGGACCCCCAGCCCGGCCTGTGCCCTCTTGCAGTCTGGGACCCCTCGGGAGATAACGACCTGCTGGCTTAGGCCCGCTCCCGGGTGGCAGAGGGCAGGCCCAATCCCTAAGTGCAGCCCCTGGTCAGGCTCAGAGCAGGGCCGATTGGGGAGTTGGGGCGCTGCCCCGTCATGCACAGAGCAGGGCGGATCGGGAGGTTGCGATGCCACCCTCAGTCACGCTCAGGGTAGGGCCGATTGGGGGGTTGGGGCACCGCCCCCTCTCACACTCAAGGCAGGGTCAATGGGGAGGTTGCGGCGACACCCCCTGTCATGCACAGAGCAGGGCCAATCAGGGGGGTTGGGGCTCCATACCCTGTCACACACAGAACAGGGTCAATCAGGGGGTTGGGGAGC